GGAGGGAACAGACAGAAAGAGGGGAGGCGGATGGGGGGAAAGAGCAAGGAGGGAGGAGATGGGAAGAGGAAGACGGAAAGAGAGACAGACATTCTGTGTGTGTGTGTATGTGTCGGTCTGTCTGTCTGTCTGTCTGTCTGTCTGTCTGTCTGTCTGTCTGTCTATCTGTCTGCCTCTTTCTCTCCCCCTTTAAAAAATTGTACCCAAATTATGTATCTTCTAATGCCTTTTTTTCAACATTTAGAATATGAATTTTGACGAAATATTTTTTGGGCTCATGAAGCCAATACAATAGACTGTGGTCTTCATCATCATCATCATCCGGTGCCTTGCCGACTGGCGTGGGCGATCATGGACCTCCACTTCACTCTGTCTTGCGTTGCAGCGATGATGTCTGTCGTTCTTGCTGTTCCCAGCCATGTTGTCAACTTGTCCAGTATCTTTTCCCTCTGTCTGCCTCTGCCTCTCTTTCCGTTGCCTGTTGTTACAATATTCAATGCTTCTTTCTGCATTGTGTGTCCAATTAAATTTGTCTGTCGCTTTCGAATATTCATCGTAAGCTGTCGTCTGCAATTTGCATCAACTATGACTTCATTTGTTTTTCTAGCTGTCCAATGGTTACAAGTTACTGCAATTTTTTTTATTTTATTTTTTTAAAATCAAACTGTTTGAGTGGGTGGTTGGCGGGTGCTCTGGTGTGGTTTGCTTCTTCTTTCCTATCAAAGGATTCATCGTCCTTATCTCCCCTCCTTCTTTTTTATGTTTGTTACTCTCTTGTAACACCTCTAATCTTCTAGCGCTCATATGACCTTATGCGGTTGCGAGCGCCGTAAAACCTCTACTAAAACAAAAACCAAAAAAAAAAACCTGTATGACTTAGATTACTACATCTGAAAAGTTGGTCGACCAATATTACTTTTAAACAATGGTCAGAGGGACCCAATATCTTTGTGAGCGCCTCGCTGTTGGCTGTTGTGTGCAGAAGACTCCAGTTTGATTCCCTAGTGGGGAGAATTATTTTTACAAACTACTAGCTGGGCCCCATTTCGATGAAAGGAATGATCAGTGCAGTAACATCAACTGAAAGTCATTGGTAAAAAAGAAAACAGGAGGCTAGATCTATACGGGTCGCACACTTAAAATAGTGCTCAGTATTGCGTGACAATGCGCGATAGTATCGAACTGAAGTACGACTTGAAATAAACAAACCTGGTGGATTTTCTAAAATGACAGAGACAGAAGCGTCGGCCTACAAAACCGATCGGCGAAATAAAGAAATTTAGCTTTTTGTAGCAAAACTGTCTCAAAACTGAAAAAAAAAAATGAAGGGCGTCATGATCTGGAGAATGTTTTAAAGAATCTTTTGGCGAAAACCGCATGC